CCCCTGCCCCCTGCTTCTTCCCGCTGCCTGTGGGGCGCGTGTAGCACCGAGCGCGCTGAGAACTCGCTACAGATCGAGACAGCGTATTCCCAAACCCCTGCTTCTTCCCGCTGCGGGAAACCTGTGGGGCGCGTGTAGCACCGAGCGCGCTGAGAACTCGCTACAGATCGAGACCCAGCGTATTCCCTCCCTCGCTACTGAGCCGTTCGACCCAGCCTGCACGAGAGAGCAGTGCGCTGGTAACAAACCCGGGCAAACCGCTAAACCGCTCCGTGAACGTTACTTGTTCGGCAATTGCTGACGGGGACGGAGGATGACGGTGGATTACCCTTAGAGTACAACCGCAACCAGCATGCCTTTATTGTTTGTTAGCTGGGTGAGTTCGCCACAAACATGTTTCGGCTTTACGCAGTGAATAAGAAGACTTAATTGCGGAACATGAAATCTCTAGGTAACTTGTAAAATTGGCAGTCCGAGAAGGTAATGGCTGTTAATCACATAGCAACTCCTAAGCAAAGTTCATTAAACTAATTGCATAAATATCCAGAAAATGGCCTGGGGACGTACGCTGCAAATTCTGAAAACTAACTATTATGCATACAGAATCAAGACAGCAGTGACTGAAAATAAAGACATTAGGTGTATGCGTTCACAAACTTAATTCATTAATTTTAATGAGACTGAAGCATGGGTACTATACACTATTCCAAGTGTTCACAGGTGTCAATCTCTAGTTAATCTAATTTGCACCAAGGGTACGCAGCTCAAAACGTTTGCCTCAATAAAGTTTAAATAACCAGCACATTAATATTAACAGGCAAACAAGAAATCTTGTAAAACAGACTGAAAAACAGCATTTTGATAAATATATACGCAAGAGGCCAGGAACAGAAGCGAGGACATTTCAATAGCGGTTTTCCTACTGCTGGCAATAAGCCTGTCCTGGTGCATTGCACGGCCTCCACTCAGGCTATTGCTGCCCGAGGACAGAGGCAGAGGAGGAGGTTAGGGGGATTCCGGATGCCCTGCGGGCTGCTGAGCACTGCCGTGCCAAAGCACACTAGCACAGCAGGCAGAAAAGGAGATCAGATAAAGTGTGTCATGAGCGAGGATATAGGCAGCACCTGAGCTTCAAAAGCAGTTACAGAAAGCTCCCCTTCTGAGGCCGTTTCCCAAAGCAGAAGAATGAGGGAGCAATTGTTTCACAGCTGCTTGCGGTGAGGAGTCCTACAGGTGATTCCCTGCACAAGGACTAAAAATATTGCAACTAACCAGGACATCCCCTACTAAATTCTAAACATCAGATAACACACCAGATTTGAGGCCCAACCTCTCTGGCAGTGCCTTTCTATCGGTATGGTTTTGTAGGCATGAAGCTGTAAGAACACTTGGAGAGCTGCTTGACTTTTGAAGATAAAATACATTAACAGAACTTCAAGTGTCACTGTCAAAGAATAGAGACATAAAGCAGAAATTTCAACACTTTATTTCCTTTGTGAATTTAGGCTAAGCATGCAGAGTGGTTGAAGAGCTTAGCATGTACCAGATATGTATCTGGAAGAGCTTTATAACTCACATACACAAGCAAAAAAAGGGACACAAGCAAACATTGAACAATTTTAAAGAGACTAATTCGCATCTAATTATGTAAAGATAATTAGGAAAGTATCCGCTGCCATATCTACATAACCAGAGCCATAAATATTATTAAATCCTTTTTCTAACATAAGTTTTGCGAACAAAACGGCCACTTCTGACCCATAATATATATTTTAAACAAGGTACCCTAGAAAACATTTTTATTATTTCATAGCAGAATAGTACAAACTCTCTCTATATTATACTTTAGTAGAAAGTAAGGAAATGAGATGACTCACTGATGCTGATAGAAGCACACAATAAATCTCAAGTTTTCCACGATGAGAGAGATAATATATTAGATTTATGTTCTCCTTAAATGTGTTGTAAGTAGACAGCATAGACGTTCAAGCAGACAATACCCAGCTTTGACACAGAACCGAACGCAAAATTATTCTAAGTAATTTCACGTTCCTTCGCTCCCACCTCAGGCTCAGAACAGCCAAGAATTGTAGAAACTACTGACAATTTTGGCTGCTCAGTCAGAGACAGTTTGGACCTTTTTTAGGGGTTCAACTTTGGTCGCTGACATCTAAGGTATGCAAACTTACTAATCACAAGAAATTTTCAATCTACATCCTTATTTACACAGTGCCTATGTTAAATAATATTATTATAGTCTCTAGGATAGTAAATTGTGTTTTGTTTCGATTGGTATGTCACTTTTCAAGACAGACTCTTCATATACGAGCATGGCCATGCAGCTAACTATAAAAATCAGAATTGTGTGTCCTTTTACATTTTCAGTATTTCTGTGACAATCCATTTGCCTAGAAAATATTTTTAGGCTCTGCTAAAGCATGACTGACATTTCTGTTAATTCCTGAGCAACACTAAAATGCTGCACAGCATGCTTCAGGGAAGATAAGAGACCAAGGGCTTCCTTACTATGTTAATATAAATTCAGAGTAACTTCACCGAAGTTACGGAATTACTCTGCTTCCCAACTAATGGGAATTTAAAATCTGTTCAGCTTAATATTTACAAATGATAGCGTATGACTGTCATTTTACTTGCACCGGAGTAACAACTCCAAATGATGCTGAATTTGCACATATGACAGGGAGAGACCCGAGTTGTTTAACCTGACAGCATCACTTTAAATTATACTCGGCATCTTTTAAAACCAGTTTTGATGCAGTCC